AGTTCAATTCCTACAAAATTAGTATGCTGACCTCATCTGCTAATGGCAAATAGTCCATTAGATCCATTAGTCCACAATCTTTCTCATTGTGTTTACATTTGCACTTAAGTACAAAAGCAACAGTGAGTAAAACTACTAGTTCCTTTGATCTTTTACACATCAAGGTAAAAGATCAAAGTGCACATATGTCAACTATACAATTTGACATATGATGAAGAACATCTTCATTGCCCCAAAAATTTTACTGAGTGAGCACAACATATGGAAAGTCAATATAAGATTCCAGCTGTAGGCTGAACATTGATTTTCTCAAGAGGAAGCACTTTTGAGAATGATTTGTAGGTATTCTCAAGGGAAAAAAAAACTTTTTTAATTTGTTTCATGTATTTTGTCCAGGTTTTCTTTTAGTTGTTTCAGATAGGAAGGTAAATTTGGTCCCTGTTACTCCGTCTTGGTCAGAAGCAGAAATCTAAAGTTACTTTCACTTATCCCAAATTTGCCTTTCTTTGCCTACATGGTGAAGACAGTGTTCCTTCCTGGCTCTGTAGACTTTTAAGCATATCCTTTCTCACAGAAAAGCAACAGTGAGTGAAACTACTAGTTCCTGGCCTGTTTAGCCTGTCCAGTAGCAGACTGCCCACACCCTTGATTATTTTGGTTATACTGTGCAGGTATGGTCACCAGAACAGGAGCTAGCAGTCCCAGTGTGAAAATAGCTTCATTTACCAACATTAAAAGGGCAGCATGACAATTTCTATTTTAAGACAGAGGTGTAATGGGTAAAATGAACACTGGGGTCAGAAGACTAAGGTTCAAGTCTTACTCAACACTTTATACTTGTGTGACTTTGGCAAACTCACTCATGACCCCTACATGCCCATCTATAAATAGGCATAACAGGTAGTTATGAGGAGGAAATGAGATCATGGATAATAAAATACTTTGTAATCTGTAAGATATCACACAAAAATAAAATAATAAAGTATATTTCCAATACTCCCAACAGTCCTCAAACTTTGTAACATTCCATCTTCCAACCTCTAATCTTCCACCACATATTAAAAACTGTTAAACATGGCCTGGTGCGGGGGCTCACACTTGTAATCCCAGCACTCTGGGAGGCCAAGGTGGGCAGATGGCTTGAGCTCAGGAGTTTGAGACCAGTCTGAGCAAGAGCGAGACCCCGTCTCTAAAAAATAGCCGGGCATTATAGCAGGCGCCTGTAGTCCCAGCTATTTGGGAGGCTGAAGCAAAAGAATCGCTTGAGCCCAAGAGTTTGAGGTTGCTCTGAGCTATGTATGACACCACAGCACTCTACCAAGGGCAACAAAGTAAAATTCTGTCTCAACAAAATAATAACAATAAAACACACATACACACACAAAAACCCCTGTTAAATATGTATCAAGAAATGCATCACCTTCTACGTATAATTTTAATTATTTCTCCTTAAATCATATAGTCTGGATCAAGAAATCATTTATACACATGGCTCAACATAATTTCAAAAATTCATCCCCAATCTAATTCACCAATTCCTTAACCTGTGTGTGAGCACTTGAAGACTACTTATATTCTTGAAATTTGGGTATGGCATGAGTGATAAAAAGACACAGATTCTGTGGGAATTAGGTTATGCATCAAGCTGAAACCGCAATTTTTAAAACACAAGCACATTCATAAATAACTTGTTACTTACCTCTGTAACATTGTGGCAAGAAGTACAAAAATATTTGCCTTCATCAGTAAGACCCCAAGAGACAGCAGTGCACTGAGTACAGCGCTCCTTAAACTCTTTCTATAGAAGAGGATAAAAAACGCGTCACCACGGAACAACATTCAATACACTGTACCTAAACCCTGCAGTTTTCCTTAGTTCTACTTAGAGAGTTCCTGGCAATTTTACCCTATAAATAAAACGTCACAAATGACAAAAAATATATCAAGATTATCTGCAAACAAGGAGAAAAGCACTTGAGCCTCTTTAATATGAAACCCAGTTAAGCTACTGGAGAAAATTTACTAGAATACACAGTGTTTGAGAAGGAGAAAAAAGGAAAAGGGATAGTAGGGGCAAAGTGGAAGCAAAAATGAGCAGATAAAGTTCTTTGAAAATGCTGTGTGCAAAAAAAGATGACAAAATTTAAGTATAGAGAAGACCAAAAAATAGATAGCATGTGGACTTCCTCCAGAACACTAACAACACATATTTTTATAGGAACCAGATTTTTGTTTTAAACTAGGATTGTTTCAAGTTTCGATTGATTCATTCAACAATATGTCAACTATGTGTGTACTAGGCATTTTACTAGGTCTGGGGATTCAATAGTGAGCCAAATAGACACGGCACATGCTGACTAATGGTGAGTTGTAATTACTAATTTCATCAACCTAGCATTTACAGATCCAACCTAACATTGGATCATTCAGTAAACTTTCTTTTTGGTACATCTACTATACCTATCTACTATACCTATCTACTAGACCTATCACCATACCGTTTCTGCCCATACATAGACCTAACTCTTTGATTCCAAACGCCTTGGTGTTTGACTTATCATCCTTGATATAATTACCCGATCCCATCTAATACTATCCAAGAAGATGGCATTTTATGTACGTCAAAATGCATGCCAAATTTCTTTAGAAAACAAAGTCTTCAATACGCCATACAAAACCTTGGGGTGTCCCCAGACCTATATTTGGAATCCCTGCTGGAGACAGTGGCGAGAATTCTGAGAGAGACTGACAGAGGTAACTTAAGGGCGTTCAGGTTCCAACCCCTACGCCTCCCACACCCACCCCAGCATCAAAGAGAATTTGTGGGTGGTCCCGTCCAGCAAGCATGAGCCATGTGGGTGGCCACCCCACAAAACCCACATCATCCTCCTCCTTAAACACACCCTTAACGACAAACACTCCGCCCTCAGTCACCCACAACCTCGCCAAGCCAGAAACCCCAGCCTCTTTCCCCTAACCGCGCGCACACACGGCCCGCCAGCCCATCCCCCGCCCCGCTTCGCCCCGCCCTCCTGCAGGCAGTGGCGGTCCCCGCGTCCTCAGCCGCTCCTCCTGAGTGTCACTCCTCCGTGGACCCGGCAGTCGTGGCCTGCCCGCTCACCGCCTCCTTACCGCCTCCTCTAGGTCCATCTCCGCGCCACAGGAGTCGCAGTCGCCAGGACCCGTTACCCAGGCAGCGAGCGCAACTTCCGGGAGCGGCGGGAAAAGCCCTCCGACCGGAATGCCGGACCCCTGAATTTGGATTCCGAGCGCCTGCGGCCACCGGAAAACCTCCGCGTGCTCCAGTGGCAAAGTTCTACGAATCTTGCATCCCCCTCCCAGGTAGACTTCCTTTCCTAGTCTCGGCAACTAAAGCCGGAGGATAAGCAGTCGAGCGACTCTTACTGCCGAGTGACTGCTGTTTTGGGGTGGTCGGTCGTTACCACTGCGAAGGGGGCTGTAGGGGTCCATGTTCCCCACTGTTACCTCCCACCTCGCTGGTTTCTCTGCTCTTTACGGGCTTAAGGAGAGGCGTGGGGTTGTGGGGAAGAGCTTGGGTTGTTGAGGTAGACCTAGGTTTCCTTTTTTGTTGTTGTTTGTTTAGCAGGCCCAGGCCAGGTTCGAACCAACCAACCACCCCCAGTGCACGGGGCCGGTGCTCTAACCAGGGAGCTATGGGCATCCAGCCCAGACCTAGGTTTCTAATCACCAGTCCCGTGTAACTGGGAATAGTTTTACCAGTGCTGGCATTTGGGCTGTGTCATACAAATTAAGAAGCCCAAAGGGAGGCACAGCTTTATTGGACCTTATGTTCCAACATAAGGAAAGGAAAAAGTCCGCAGATTGGCTGCGAGGAGAATTCTGGGAGAGTTTTAAAGAGGCTTAGGTGGGGAAAAGGGGGACTTGAAAGTATTTAGAGGGGGAGATTTTTCTTGCACTTGCCTAGTTCTAGTACAGGCTTCTAAATGCGTGATTTTTAGCTTTAAAATGAGGTTATTACAAAGGAAAAATCAGGGTAAGTTCAGTGTGGGGGTCTTTTCTGGCTCGAGGTGTTTGTATTCAGATAAGTATGGTACTTTTGCAGCCGGCTGCCTTATGGTCTTCAGTATCTTGTACCAGTGGCCGGGAAAAACATTACTCCCAAGGTTATGCTGTCCGTGTTGCCTGTCTTGGTCAGAAATGAGGCCCAAGTCCTGTCCGTATATACTGTCTAAGGAGTGCTCAATAAATTTATTTTTTATTTTTCCTTCATTAAACGCATTAATTTCTTGTTGGATTCATTAAACAGGAATTAGTTTAGGTCCCGGAGATTCAGTAGTGAACAAAGTAAACAAAAGTCACTGCCTTCATGGTGATTATAACTTGATGGAGAAAGACAAAAATAAATAAGGGAACTATAAGGTATTTTTTTAAACTTTATTCAAATTAATATGAGGGTACAATATTTAGGTTACATTGTTCTCACTTCTAGGGTAAAGTTCCATTTGTAGCAGAGCCCCTCACCCAGTGGGCGTGTTATACACCCTCACAATGTACACATGAAACTATATGGTATGTTAAATGGTAATAAATACTAAGGGGAAAAATAAAACAGAAAAGGAGAATAGGAGCCATAAGGTGGTTTCAATTTGAAATAGGGTGGTCAAGAAAACACTCATTGGAAGTGGATCTTTGATATAATCATGCATCTCAAGAAGTTAGAAGGTTAGTTCTTAGTTCATGAGTGTGATATTTGGATTTTCGTACCCGTGTTTGAGATGTGCCTCCCTCAAACTTTGTTAGGATGTGGGCACATTCCCAGTCTCGTGGGGGAGCAGGGAGAGAAGAAAAAAGAAAATGAAGGTTAAACTGAAAAATAATGGAAAGAAGAAAATAAAAAAGGTTAAAGAAATTAATAAACAAGAAAGCACCTTCAATAGAAAGGCTCCATGGATCACCAGAGCTCAGGAGTTTGAGATTGGCCTGAGCAAAGTGAGACCTGTCTGTACTAAAAATAGAAAAACTGGCTC